ACTCATTACTCTCCCCTGCATGCAAATTTTGATGTACGTATACTCACTTGTAGAGAAATAACTTTTGGTATCACTTACCTATATGTATTTAATTTTTTCTTTTAGTCAGTCAAAGTGCAAAGAAATTGCCAAGGAAAAGGAGAGGATGAGACATAAAAAATGAACTGCTGACTTTAGTCAGTTTAAAAAATATTTGCGACGTGATGTAATATATAAAAAGTTTTGGGGAGGTGCAAGCCATTGAGCAGCATTTCTTTTAACCTCTAAGATTTTCCTTAATCTATGAGATGATGATAATTTTATCACTCTTTCTCCTTGCTCTTTCCGCTCACTCTTTTTCCTTGTCTTTACACTCCCGCTTGCATATTTTAAGGCAGGTAAACTCCCTAGTAAAGAAATAACTTTTGTTGCTAGTTACCTAAACGTCTTTTTTTTTTTTAGTCAATCAAACTGTAAAAAAAAATCAAGATGGAAGGGGGGAATGATGCATCAAAAAGGACTTGCTGGCTGTAGTTAGTTAAAAGAATATTTGTAAAGTGATGTAGTGTTTAAAAATGGGAGACGTAAGCAAATTAACAGCATTTCTTTGTAACCTCTTAAGTTTTTCATTAATTTATGAGTTTTTCATTAATCTAATCTATGATAATTTTATCGCTCTTTCCCCTCACTCTTTCCCCTCTCTCTTTTCCCTCACTCATTACTCTCCCCTGCATTCAAATTTTCATGCCAGTATACTCACTAGTAGAGAAATAACTTTCATTATCTTTTACCTCAACTTTTTTATTTTTTTCTGGGGGGATTTCATCAATCAAACTGCAAAGAAATGAACAAGGGAAAGGAGGGGATGAAACCTAAAAAATGAATTGCTTGCTCTAGTCATTTTTAAGAATATTTGCAATGCAATGTAATATTTAAGAAGCTTGGGGGATTCCGAAGCAAATTAGCATCATTTTTTTGTACCCTCTAAGCTTTTCAGTAAGATATGAGATAATGATAATTTTATCACTCTTTAGTGTCACTCTTTAGCCTCACTCTTCTTTGTAACCTCTAAGATTTTAAGTAATGTATGAGATTATGATTATTTACTCAGAATATGATGAGTGAGGATTATTTACATGTGTGTCCACAAACATACTAAAAAAAGGAGTATGCTTTTTCTATGTACACATTTACATGTGTGTGTGTTGGAATTCTCCCTGTATCATGAATAAGTAGTTTCAGGTAATTGTGTAGTTTTTACATATGTGTATGTGAATTTTGCACATGCAGGCATTCATTTCTGACCACTTGGAAGAGTTCTTAGGTATGTGGAATAAAAAAGTTCATAATAATGGAATGAAAAAGTCTTCCTAAATTTCTGGGTTAGTTAGTCCACAGTAAATTTAAGTTAGGCTATGAAGATTAACCTGAGTATACTATATTTTCTCAGTCTTATTGCACTAAAATAGTTGTGAGGAAAAATACACTAGAAAATATATATTTTTAAGTTCATATTATATTAAATGGATAGAATATTCCTTTTCTGTTCCGTTCCTCCCGCTCTCTGCCCTCCTCCCTCCCTTCCCCGAAGTCTGTTTTTTGACAGTGACCCTGCTTTGACAAATTTGTTTGCACTTCGTGACTTGTCATGTAAAATAAATGCTAAGGCCACCATAAATACCATAGATTAAGAATTTTTTTAAAAAAGTAAAAAAAGTAAAAAAGCAGGAGACTTGAAGCTGGCAACAGGAATACTTCTGTAATTATGGGGTCTTTGCCAGCATGTCCTTTTGCCTAAAAGGTGAACCATGAGGGGCTGCAAGGAAACCCCTTGACTCATCATGATTTCAGACTTGTTGCATGTGAAGAGAGGGAGATATCAGATGATGGCCTCGTAGAAGCTAGTTTTGAAGGAAATTGCAAAGGAAAGAATTGTTGTGCCATCTCATTTATGAGATTTTTTCCAGACAAGAATCTGTAATTAGAAAAACATGAGAAAATTAATTAGCTCTGATTAGAGCTTTGCTCAGATTATTTATAGCTAGGGTTTTTATTTCTGTTATTCTGGCTTTAATGTAAAAAATTGCAGAAAGCCTCTCAGTGATGCTGATTTTTAAAAATTAATACAATAATGTTCATTTTGCTAAATAACAGGTAACAAGGGTGCCCATGAATTATAGGAAGAGCCATTAGCAGGCTTTAAGGAATAGAGTTGGAAACTTATCAAAAATGACTGTGCATCTTGCCCCGTTAAGCCTGACATTTGCCTAAATAAATGGGCTTAGTTGCAGTGATGTCCCTCCCAGCCCATTAGCAAGGTCGCCTTTAATTTTCTGTAAAAAGCAGAGCCGCAGGGTGCGTATCCCATCCCGGGGAAGGGTGGGAGAACCGGTCCTGACCATCAGTTGGGTACGTGACCAGAGCAGGGCTGCAGTTCTTGGCATGCTGAAGAAACAGGAAGCCTGGTTGTATCCAGGATCTTGCCGTGCTCTTTTCCTGCCATTCGTGTCTACAGTATTTCCATGTGTTTGCAGTATCGGGTACCTAGTTTCAATTATTTGCAAATACTTTACAGTATTAAGGCATGCCAGGAATTCTTTTTTTTTTATTCTTCCTCGTTTTTTGCTAATGAGTGCATGATTGTAATCTCGTGTTAGCCGGCTAATATTTATCCAACAGTTAATTTTGAAGCATCTTTGATTCATTTTATCTTTAGGTCTGTACTTCTCATAATGAGTAGGAGTAACAAGTACTGATACAACCTCTTTATGTACGCTTTGAGGAAGGGTGAAACACCAGCTGTGTTTTGGAATTCGAAAGCATAGTGCGTACATGACCTTAACTATATTTCCCATAGGCTTTTCCAAATCTCAGGTATAGTAAGGCAAAATATATGTGTATGTATAGCAAGGATACCTGTGTGTGTACACATGGAGGATACATTTTAGTCATGATTGAGATATTCATCTTTAAAATCAAGCATGATAATTCTTTAAAAACAGTTATGGTGACTATGCAACTGTTGAGAGTACAGAACAAATAACGTGGCAGCTGGTCATAGTTGCAGAATAAATCACTCAGCTGGGAATTCAAAGCATAGAAGATGATAGGCTGGGTGCAAATATGAACAAATGAAAAATTTAAAAGCAAGGTGCGTTTATGAAATTTGAAGTTTTATGCCTGGCGGGTTTTGAACTGATGTACTGTAGTGTTCATCCTAGTATATAATACTTAGGGGGGAGGGAAAAGGCTGCTTTTAACAGAAAATTGCATATTTTTACTGTATGCACTTGTGTTTCCCCTTCAGGAAGCTACAATATTACAAATGTCTTGCCTTCAGCTCCTGATATGGCTCAGTTTAAACAAGGAGTGAAATCAGTGGCTGGAAAACTTTCTGTACTTGCTAATGGAGTCATGACATCTATACAGGTTAGTGAAAGTATTATGTTATAAGAAACCTCAGTTAAATCTCCTTGTAGTGATTTAGTATCCTAAATCCTGCTGTTGGATTATACCTAAGGAGAAAAGAAGGAAGCTTCCTAAGTTTCTTGTGATAGGCAGCAGATCTTTATCTTTTTAAAAATAATTTTCTGATAGCTGGCTAACCTTCCTCAACTTTTTTGTCTTCTCCCTTGCACAGTTTTTTGCTTTTCTTAAAATAGGAACACAAATTCCATCATGGAAGTTATTTGCTGTTACCTTATTATTAAAGTAGTAATAGTTGAACTCTTGTGTTGTCTGTTGAATTCACTTGACAGTAACCCCCCTCCTCTGAGAATGTTTTTGTGCATTTTTGTGCATTTAACCCCTGAAAATAATGCATCCAGTCTCAACCGCGTAAGACTTGCTCTGTTACCCATGTACTTTGTTTCCTGCATGAGTTAAGTGGGAGCTGTTGAATGATTTTGAAAACAGGGCTAGTTATCTTGGTGTTTAACTGTAAACTCCAGTTCATAGAACACATTTTTTTCAGAGGCTTTAAGAATTAACTTATTTCTTTAGCAAAAGTAGCTAAAGCTGATTTCTTTCAATGATAAACATAGCCATAACTGCATAACTTTTTTCTTCTTCTCTAGGATCGATATGGTTCATAAGCTTTTGGACATCAACCTAAGTACACTAAAGACGAATTTCTCTTGAGATATACCAGATCACAGTGCTGATTCAAATGAAGGTTGCCTTAACACTGTAGATGCTTTTAATTGCTCCAGGATTTTTTTTTTTTCATGCGACTTTCTGACAGCTCCTTATTGCTATTTCGTCTCTACAGAGCAGAAATTGTGTAGTAACTTGATACATCATATATGCCTTTTTCTTTACAGTGTTGTACTTCCGTTAGTGGCCTTAATGTTATCTGTCAGAAGTCTTATTTTATTGCTGTTTGTTGTGAGAGAGGGAGCAGAAAGGTGGACATGCACGCTGAAATAAGACTTCCTGACAGAAACCTCTCTGCAGTTGCACCTGTAACTTGTCTTCTGATTGTCCTATGAGCTGTGGAGAAGAAAATTTAAATTAAGCATATGCTGAGATGGTATTTAGTGGACTGTAGCAAAACATAGAATTGAGTTAAACCTGTGCTTATTGGAAAGTAGAAGTTCTTGTGGTTTATTAATTGATGTGCATTAAAATGATGGAGAAATACTGCTTTAAAATGATATTTCTACTACAAAATGTTATGCTTAGATGTAAGTACAGAGGAGACAAGACACCTGGTATATTAAATAATGGATTTAATTTTATCATGGGAACAATCTATTTATTCCTAATTTTGAACGTTATAAAAAATGGCAATATAGAATCCTTAAGTGCATTTAAATGATCTGTATTGTGTACAAAATGAAAAAAATATATATACAAAGAGCCTAACAGAGTAGCTAGTTAATTATTTGTTAAGAATTTTTAGAACAATCACAGTTTTTTTTGATGAATTATTGAATGAGGAAATATACTGGGACTGTATAAAAAATCTTGTATAAAAAATGATTGCAACCCTTAAACCCCACAAGCAAAAATGAACTTCATCTAATTCTGTTCTGTAACTTTATTTCTTAATTCAAATTTGTATACTGCTGGTACCTAATAAAAACAATTGGTATAAACTGATTTTTTAATTAAATTTTTTATGTGCAGGATGCCAGTCTCTAGCTCTCTAAATGCAGCCATTTGTGTTCTGTCTATACGATGATCTTGAATCAGCCTTTAATTAGTGAAACTATAATTAGTGAAACTAGCTTTCTTATTAAACTGCTATAGTGGTTTAAAAAAGGCAAAACATGGTGGGTAGGCAAATAAGCTACCGTACTGAAATACTGTGGTTGAAACACAGTTAATTTAGGGTAGCCTTTTTTATCTTTTTTTTTTTTTTCCCTCTCACTTCTTGAAACTTTGTGCTCTGGCTCTTGTGTTTATTAAGCCAAAAATGACACTTCCCTTTTTGAGAGCAGTACAATATAGGCATTTGTTCTGCTTAATATGGGGACTTTGGTATAAAAGACTTGCTTTTTTTCCCTTGCTAGCGATAGAGAAGCTATCCTAATTTAGCTAAACAAGAAAATTTTACTGGTAAGGGCCAGCATTTGGTTTTCTCTAGTAACAGCTAGAGTTTCTCAACTTTTAGACTACTCCTTCTGTTAAGTCTACAGTCTTATTAAATACATTGTGTCTAATAATCTGATTTTCAGCGTTGCTCTGTACTGGCCATATCCAGCGACTTGCAAAAGAACAGCTGCTTTGCTAACCTGGCTGCATATTAAGACACTTGAATATGAATGCGATTGCTTAATTTAAGGCAGGAAAATATAGTGCTGATATCTCTTTGTAGAAAAAAAATAAACTGATGCTCTGCTGTTATTCCTAGAAAGGAAAAGGTAGGGCTTAGTGGTTTCTTATATATAGCAGTGTTTGAGGTCACCTCCATAGAAATAATATTTTTTTCTGCAGCAGTGTAATAATGAAACGCTCACAGATGGAAAAGTGTGAAAACTGGGTATTTTTGGTACAAAGTAAGAACTACAGAGTTACTTTAAATGCCATAAAGCATGTGCAGTTCTCTAATAAATGTATAAACTTTTTTTCCCTTTGCTGCAATCTGGGGATTATCCCACAAGGTTCCCTTAAGGGTGAAGAGCAATTCAGTATTTATAAAAATATTATCCAGTTCACCATAAAAGAAAATACTGGTTTTGTGCCCTCACTTGTTGCTGCAGGTTCTGCATGGCAGCCTGTGCACCACCGATACCTTCCCTTGATGAAATGGTTGGGCGAATAGCTCCTGACCCCTTACGCACCGGCAGCGGCTCCTCTAGTCTCCTGGAATTTCAGATGGCACCACCAGGCCTTCATCATCCTGATCCTACAGGATTTAATGGGACAGGATCAAGGGCAGTTAAAAATATGACCTTTGCTTAAACTTAGGTTTGCACGCTTACTTTCTTGGGGATCCGCTTCCTTTCTCTCTCTTTTTTTTTTTTTCCCTCTTCTAACTGTAGTTCAAACACATTTACCAGCCTCTGATCAGAGGGGCAGGCAGTTCTGGTGTTGCTACCAATCTTTCAGGTTTAGAGGAGGTGATCTCTGGATTGAGAACGGGCTGGTTGGCAGAGCCCAGAGGGTGGTGACAAATGGGGCCGAGTCTAGTTGGAGGCCTGTGGCCAGTGGTGCCTGTGGCCAGGGGCCAATACTAGGCCCGGTGCTCTTCAGTTTGTTCATCAGTGACTTGGATGAGGGCATAGAGGGCACCCTCAGCAAGTTTGTGGACAATACCAAACTGGGAGGACTGGCCAATGCTCCAGAGGTCTGTGCAGAGAGACCTGGACAGGCTGGAGAGTTGGGCAGAGAGGAACCTCATGAGGTCAACAAGGACAAGTGCAGGGTCCTGCAGCTGGGGAGGAATAACCCTAAGCACCAGGACAGATTAGGGGTTGACCTCCTGGAAAGCAGCTCTGCAGAGAGGGATTTGGGAGCCCTGGTTGACAACAAGTTAACCATGAGTCAGCAGTGTGCCCTCATGGCCAAGAAGGCCAGTGGGATCCCGGCCTGCATGAGGAGGAGCGTTGCCAGCAGGTGGAGGGAGGGGATCCTGCCCCTCTGCTCAGCTCTGGTGAGGCCGCATCTGGAGTATTGGATGCAGTTCTGGGCTCGACAGTACAAGAGGGACATGGAGCTTCTGGAGAGGGTCCAGTGGAGAGCCACGAAGATGATTAAGGGACTGGAGCATCTATCGTATGAGGAAAGACTAAGCAAGCTGGGCCTGTTTAGTCTGGAGAAGAGAAGATTGAGAGGAGATCTGATCAATATGTGTAAGTACCTCTGGGGCAAATGTAGGGAGGATGGAGCCAAATTCTTCTCAGTGGTGGCCAGTGACAGGACAAGGGATAATGGCTACCAGTTGAAACACAGCAAGTTCCACCTCCATGTGGGGAAGAACTTCTTTCGTGTGAGGTTGACAGAGCCCTGGAACTGGCTGCCCAGAGAGGTTGTGGAGTCTCCTTCTCTGGAGATCTTCCAAACCCACCTGGATGCCACCCTGTGCCACGTGCTCTGGGTATCCCTGCTGGAGCAGGGGGGTTGGACTAGATGATCCCTAGAGGGCCCTTCCAGCCTCAACCATTCTGTGATAAAGCCATGTATTGCGTCTCTTTTTCTAAAAAGTTTGTGAGTGAAAGTTAGTATAAATTACCAGTTGCATTTTGTTTCAGTTTTCCTAATCCCCCTTTATTACCATTTTCGAAGCTGACACTGCGTGGTGGCAGCAGCTGCTGTGAAGCATCTAAGTTAAGCTTTCCTCTTTTGATGCTGCTGTCCTATAAAGACATTACATTTATAGGAGGAGAAGGAGGATTATTTAATACTTTTCTAGTACTTTATTTTTGTTGCTTAAATTGGCAGATTTAGAAGAACATTTAATGGGAATTGTTACAATACCAGAACCATCATTAATTTGACAGACCTGGGCTGTTCTTGTCTGAGTAAACGGTGAAGGAAGCAGTATCATTACTATGTGTTTTTTCTTGCTTCCCTTCACAAAAGGGAAGATGCTCAACACTGTCCTTCTGCTCTGCTTGGACTGAAACACTTTTGATGCCAAATAAGACTTAAGGCTTAGAAGGACTTTTAGACTACAAGAGGGGGCTGAGCCACTCCATAGTCTTTCAACATTGCTTTAGCTGCAGGGAGTCTTAACATGGCTCTCGTCCTGCTCTTAGCTGCAGTTCAATCCTTCTGCTTAATTTTTTATGCAACATTTGCCTGGGTTTCTGCTCCCATTAAGAGTGAAGGGATGAAGCAGAATGGTTTCAGCTATCCTCCCATGGTGCTCACAGCTTTGAAGACGAGTAACAGCACTGCCTTTCTTTCTGCAGGACCAGCTGCAGCTTTTGGAGAATGTCACGTCCAGTTTAGAGGCTCTCAATTTTAATGAAAACTTTGGGGTTTTAAAGCCTCAGAAGGCAATCTAGCCCACATGGCCTCTTAAAGAAAGCAATAGGATCTCAGGGTGCTTGGGGAGCTCTAATTTTTGTGAGACTTTTGCTTCCCTTTGCATGATGCTTGCTTTCTTCCCAAGAAGATGCAAAAACAGAGAAGCTCAGCCCTGGTGAAGGTGCCTGGGCAGCCTCATGGTGCTCAGTGAGGAGGTGGGGACTTTCTGCATGCCTTTGCAAGCTCCACAGGCACAGTTCTGCCTCCAGCCTGCGGGCTTCTGAGAGGGCACCTTCCTCCACAACCTGCTGGCTGTGAGAGAGACAGGAGGGAAGGAAACCACGGCAGCACCCCGGGAAGCTTCTCCCACCTTCGGCATGACTCACTGCTCTGTGCTGAAGCCCTGCAACACACAGTTTCCTCGTCTGTTGCTTTGGATTTTGTGTGGTTACTCTGACCTTTCTGTTCCCTTTGGCTGTCTCTAAGAGTGCGTTCTTGGCTTTGAAGATAGTGATATCTGCATCTTTGCCATTTGGTTGCCATTTAAGAAGTCTTGGTCTGTCTTGGCTGGTTTCTGGCTACCACACCAAGAGAGGTGGATCTCCTGGAGTGCATGAGGAAAGAGGATGCTACAGGCTGATAGGAAACAGGGTTTATACCTGTATTTATGACATGGATGTGGTTGCTGATTACAGGAACAAAA